CAGAATGTGACAATGTATTTTGCTACCTATAAAGAACCAACAGAGTCAACTAACCTGGACCCTTGGGGCTCTCAGAGAATGAACCACCAACCAAAAAAATATACACAGACCAGACCTAGGTCTCTCTGCTCATGTGTAGCAGATGTGTAGCTTGGTCTTCATGTGGGTCTCGAACAACTGGAACAGGGGCTATCCCAAAAGCTGTAGCCTGTCTCAAATGTAATTTAATAGCTGCAAGCCAGCCACAAATCCAAAGATGATCCGTGAGTTCTTACTTACCTCTCTGGTTCTAAACGCCAGAGGTGTTGCACATGTGGGGCTTTCCAGGGTGCTGTGCACACTGTCCTTAGAAACCTGTGATTTGTCGTCTGCACCCGCCACTCTGGTTTCTTCTCCTCATTCCCAATGAGAAAATCCTTGGTTGACTGGGGCACATTACATTTTTAAAATTGGAAATATTTAACTTCAATTTAAAGAAGTGTTCGATTAAAATATATTATACCATGATTTCCATATCACCAAAATTTAATTATTTGTATACTTATGAACTTAAGTCTTAAACTTCTTACTTATATGTACAGATGTGAGGATGGTTTTTAATTCCAGGTGACCATGGAAGCCAGAAGAGAGGCTTGGACACCCTGGATCTGGAGTTACAGATGGTTATGAGCCGCCTGACATAGGTGTTAGAAACTAGACTCTGAGTCCTCTGAGAGAGCAGTGTTTCTTATTCTCTGTGTCATCTCTCCAGCCTTTAACTCGGTCTTTTAAATCAGGTATAGCATTTAAGTAGTTTCTGTAAGTGATGAGCCACTGCCCTTGCCAGTATTTTGTGTATTATTTGGAGTATTTAGGAAAGTATTAGAAATAATTAGGTCCGTGTTTCTCATAACAATACTATGTTCAAGAAAGCTGTGCCAGGTATGATAGTCCCAGCACTCAGAAGGGGAGAATCAGGAACATCTCTGTGAGTTTGAGGCCAGCCTGGTCTTCCGAAAATTCCATCCAAGCCAGAGCTACACAATGAGACCCTACCTCAAAGTGGAAAAAAAGGCGAGTTGTCTCACAGTGATTTTAATGGAATTTATTAAAAATGATATGTTAATGTACATTAATGTGTATAAAATATTTGAGGGGGACAGTTTGTGAAGATGCAAATAAATTCTTTAAAAGCAATTTGATTGTTAAAACCAGTTTAGAAGATGCAATGTGCTAATGTGGGCTTTCCACTTTTCAAACATGCTTCCAGAGCCAGCACACTCACCTCTGGGGCTTTCCAAGCAGAAGTCTTAAGTCTCTTAATCTTATTTGAAAATAGAAGAGGGCAACGCTGGAGACGTGCCAGGAGCGGCCTTGGTATTTCTGAAGTGCCACGGTGAAAAGTACCTTCTCTCACAAGTCAGTTCCTTTTCGCAGAATCAGTCTCTTCCAGCTCTCTCAACCACTGCTCTTTCCAGAAAGCCCATCCCCACATCCACGATAGCACAGGCTAGACAACTCAGTAGAACTTTACCCATCCTTGTGACGCCCCCAATACTCTCTTAGTGCTGTAACATCTACTAACCAAGTCTACCTTATTGTCGTTTAAAAATGCAAAAGCAGCCATGTGTAGTGGGTGGGTCACGTCTTCAACCCCAGCATTTGGTTGTCAATGGCAGGGGTGTGTTGATGCCCCCTTTCACTACAGCTAAGACCCTGTCTAAGGGGATAGGGGGAGTCAGACATGGTGGCACATATCTTTTCTTTCCTTAGGAGTAAAATAGGAGAGAAGGAGAGGCGGTGTAAGAGAGCACCGAGGAGGCTGGGAGGGAGCGCTTTTCCTGTCTTCTCCCATTGCTGTCTTCACATTGGATGTGAGAGTGCTCACTCCAAGAGGACCCTCTCTGAAGGAACGCCAAAGCCCCAACTCATCATTCTCAAGCGGAAGGGATCGTCACCTCCCAGTGCACCTCAGAAATGGGTTAACGGTGGGAAGAAAGGAGCACATAAGGGTTGAGGGCTACCTTTTTTTGTAACTTTCTATTTAAAAACACTTTCTTTTTTTTAAAGTGCCTTTCTCTTTTATATCTGGGGTATACATTTGCGTACAGGCAGGCCTTGACCATTGTGGGAAGAGGAGAGATGGCAGCAGGAGTCTCCCCTTGTTACCCCCATCTCTGACCTCACGTCTAATGAGAGATATTTACTCTAACCAAATGATGAGTCAATCCTTCAAACCTCAGCTCTCTCTAGGTCTTGGGCCGTAATAACGTGGAAACCCCGAGTCTTGTGATCAAGTACAGTTCCTTGAACTCTTGGTGTTAGGGTAGGGGAGGAACAGGTGTCTGTCCTTTGTCTTCTTTTCTTGTGTTTAAGCACATAAGTGCAGGAACAGGAAACAGGAGCTTAAGAGGTGTGATGTATATCTTTAATCCTCGTACTCAAAAGGCAGAGGCAATCAGATCCCTGCAATTTAGAAGTCTGCCTGCTTTACACATTGAATTCAGAGCTGGCCAGGACTACACTATGAGATTGTGTCTAAAAACACAAATTACAAGGGCTAAAGAAATGGCTCAGCAGTTCAGAGGGCTTACTGGTCTTGCAGAGGAGCCTGGATGAGTTCTTAGCAGCCACATTAGGAAGCTAACAACCACCTATCTCCCAGGGATCTATCTCTGGTCCCATCTTGTGGACTATATTAACGCTTGCACACATGTGCTACATAAAAAACTTAGCAAGCATATACCTATACCTATAAATAAGATTTTAAAATGTTTTTAAAAATTATAAAAGAACTTCATGAAAATTCAGTTGGTTCCTGACTTAGAATAGTCAGGAGAATAAATTCCACTTTTCCTTTTTTTTTTTTTTTTTTTTTTTTGTTTTTTTTTGTTTTTTTGTTTTTTGATTTTTTTTGAGACAGGGTTTTTTGGTTTTTTTTGTTTTTTGTTTTTTGTTTTGTTTTTTGTTTGTTTGTTTTTTTTTTGGTTTGGTTTGGTTTTTCGAGACAGGGTTTCTCTGTGTAGCTCTGGCTGTCCTGGAACTCACTCTGTAGACCAGGCTAGCCTCGAACTCTCGAACTCAGAAATCCGCCTGCCTCTGCCTCCCAAGTGCTGGGATTAAAGGCGTGCGCCACCACCCGGCTAAACGGCTAAACTCCACTTTCCAGCTCTGCCATGGCTCGAGAATAATAGCATCCACCAAAAGCACTCTGAGAATGCTGGATTCTCATCCAACTCCCCAGCATGCACATGTTTTCTCCTCTTGCCGTGCTAGGCAGTAGCGGAACTCTGTCTCCCACTCAGCTGGGAGCAAGATGGAACACAGCCAGCAACCTGCAGAGTCCTGTGCTCTGACCTATGGCATCTGGCCTGGATTATTTCAACCTGTGGGTTCATCTTCATGTAACCATGTCATTCGTCAAGGACCATCTACACTTTTTAAAATGCCAAAAATAAAGTTATGACTTTCTCTTTCCCCTACTGTGCAACTCGGCTGATATTAAAAATTCACTTCCTAATGAGACAATTCTGCCGTTTGTTACCCAGAGACTGTAGACAGGTTCTGAGCCTCTCTGTGCCTCTGTGGAAGCCGGAGAGCTCCTCTCCAGGCTGCGGCGAGATCAAACTGACCTTGTGCTTCAGCACTCGCAGCTGTTGACCTCTTAGAGACGAGACGTTCTTCACTGCTGCACATAAAACCCGGTTTGTGTGGTTGTCTGAAAACATGTGAACCTGAGCCGTAAGTTGCTTCTCTTATTTATGATGTGAACATCTTTTCAGCAAACACGTAAGGTTTTTAAATATTACAAACCATGGAAGACATCGTATTGCCAAACCTTTCTCTACTGAAATTCACATTTTCTTTCTTTGTGTGGTTTCATCAGAATGCTGAAATAAGCAGTTTTGTGCAGTCCCTCTGTGTGTGTTGATATGCTAAATTCTTAGGCATGGACTTGGTTCTCCAAACGATTTTTAAGTTTTTAAGGCAACACACACAGATTAGTTTCCAGAAAACATAAGAGCAACTAGGCAATGAACCAATCAGTCTGTACAGCAGAGAATTTAAAAGTCAAGCAAGTATTTTGAGGACGTAGAAGGATCTCTGGGGTTCCCTGGCCAGCCAGACTAGTAGAATTGGTGAGGTCTAGGTTTGGTGAAAGATTTTGTATCAAGATGGAGAAGTAATTAAGACAGTCAACGTTGACCTCAGGCCTCTGACATGCACGTGAACACAACATGCGCGCGCGCACACAGACACACACACACACAGACACACACACATAAGCAAGAATATGTATGAAACAGGCTAATCATGGTGTGTGTGTGGGGGGGGGACAAAAATGGGATCTTTAAAAGTAACCCAAAGGACTGTTTTCCAACCTTTTGGAAATCGTTTTGTTTTCTTTTTGGAAATGGTTTTTTTAACCTGAAAGTTTTCCCATTCTTCTCCTCTGTTTTAAAATGATATCATTTTAAATCAAAGAAATTTTATTGCAGTATTATTTAACACAAAATTTGTATCGCTATGCATAACATAAAGTACTGTCTTCAAAATTGTTTTAAAGCAGCACAGAAGAAGTCAAGAATAAGAATGGAATAAGGATGCAGCAAATAGAAAAAATCAGAAAGGTAGAAGACTTCATTCCTCCTTATACGATGATCACTAAACGTGCGTGCTACAATAGGGAGGCAGAAACGGTCCAAATTGTATGCTGTCACTGTAAACAGGCTTACACGTGAAAGATCAGATATGTTACTTAAATAGCGTTCATAAGAAAAATGACCTGGCGACACATAAATGTAAAGTAGACCAGAATATGAAATTTTATCTTGGATCAAGAAGGGCATGTCAAAATGATAAAAGGTCAATTTACCAAGACGACATAATTCTAAACTGCTATGTCTCTAGGAAGTTTCAAGAATGTGAAAAACTGACAGAATTGAAAGGAATAATAGACAAATCCAGTCTTCCTTGTTAGAAAAGTCCAGTTTCCCAGAAGCAGACAGAAAATCATCGAGATGGCGGGCAGAGAGCTGGTAGAGACGGTTCTGGCTCTCAAGGAATTGAAAGCACTGTTTCTGTTGACTGGAGACAAGGATCTTCCTCTCACTGTTACTGCACAGAGGCAAGGCTATATCACTGTGTAACCAACACTGACCTGAAATTTGGAAAAAGACAAACCCAGAAGCCAGTAATGAGAAGCCACTAATACGACAGGATCGCTCATTCCTGACTTTAAGCTAGTCCTATATTAGATGACCTAGTGGTTCAGGCAAAGGGCTTCGTCAAGCATGGTGGCAAGTGTCTACCTGGAAAGCTTGATGAGTGTGACGGGGGGGGGGGGGG